CCAACCATAATGATTCTGTGATTCTATCATTACTTTTTGATGGTCATTTATGTTCTACCCAGGATTTCTTTATTTCACATTAGGTTGGCTCTGACCTCAGTGAATAAATTTGAAGAAGCAGTTACCAGTTACCAAAAAGCACTGGATCTTGATCCAGAGAATGACTCTTATAAGTCAAATTTGAAAATAGCAGAACAGAAATTAAGAGACATGTCCAGTCCGGTAAGTTAGCTCTGTATCTATTTATTTACTATAGTTTTAACTGTGATTTTGAGGTAAACTTACCTTCAATTGCAATTTGTTTGTAGACTGGAACTGGACTGAGTTTTGACATGGCAAGCTTGATAAACAATCCTGCCTTCATTAGTATGGTGAGTTTATTTCAAGCTTTACATCATACTGTTTTTACAACTGAAGTTTTAAGAACAACTCATGTTTAATAACACAAGCAATTTTAATGCTTATAATGGCAATGGTTTTGTTATACTGAATTTAAATTTCTGTAAGTCATTTTACACTCAAAACAAGAAGCAAAGCATAAATGTGCTATAATGCTTGTCTTGGTTCCAATTGATTTTATCTTCCTTATGAACAACAATGTGCATAGATTAGCTATGCCATTTTTATAGATGGCATGATAGTAAACCACCTGTCAACAACATAGTGAAAATTTCTTTTCTGTTCTCCACATAGCAGTTAACAACGACTACAATGAAATCACCTTTTAAGTGAATAACAGTTGATTCAGACGCAGCCTACCCAAGACTAAAGTAACCCTGCTTGGGGAGAACTACCCAAGATACCTTTCTGTTCTTACTCTTTCAAATTATCCCTACATCCTTTTGTGGGCAAAACTTCATGAGGTGCAAAGCATGAATATAAATGACATACAGTGCATACCTTTACTTCAAGTACAATGGTAAATTGTGGGTTTGTCCCTCAGAATTTTTTCTCCATGCACAGCTTTCTTGACTAAATGGTATTAACTTTGAAGAATGGAATTTGGAGAAAAAAATGAAAAAAAAACTTAGTTCCTTTGAGAACTCGGTTAAAACTTTACTGCCCCTCTGGTAGCTTCATTAGGACAGGACATTTCAACCACTGCTTCCATGTGGACGTGCACTGCATGCAAGAGAGATCAGTAATCTGGTCTGATACTATGGTCCAAATAACAGAGACAGTAGGCAAGGAAGAAGTGAGCAAGTTCTCCAGTGGCATTAGTGATTAAATAGCACTGGAACTCTGTGTACCATTTCATTGGTCACATGACTTACTCAGACAGTCTGCATCTGTTTAGCGTCAAAGATGTACTCTTCAATATAGACCTAACTATGAGGAAAAGATTTTTGCATCATTTCCAGAAGATAGAACACAGGGCATTCAGCCAGGAACAAATGAATTATTTTCCTGTGGTGTAGTTTGTTGTTCTGTTTTGTTTTTAAGGAAAAAAATGGTCTCACTGTCTGACCTTGATAAAGTTACTTCTAGCCTCCATTTTGGGCCCTGAACCTAGATCAGACTTGTTACAGATGGAAGAAAGAAAAAAACCACTGTATTACCTGTAGAATTGACCTGAATTTGGCATTTTATATCCAACTGTAGACTAGAGAAAACAGTTGATTTTTCTTTTGAGAGAGATATATATGGAGATATATTGATCAATAAAATTAATATTGTGTATATCTGGGTTTTGTAGTACCTTTAGTAAGACAGTGAATAAGCAGATACTGCATTGTGCCTATTGGTCTTGTATTCATAAAGATACTGATTTCTGTAGGAATTATGTTACTAACTTTAAAGCATCACCTGGTTTATTCTATAGTATCTGTCCATATATGCCCTTACACTATGGTAAATACAACGTAATTTTTGAGATATCTTGTGAATGAGAAATTTAAATAACCTCATGCTTACTACAAAGCAAGAAGATATGCAATTATCACAGAAGATACACATTACCACAAAACCGTGCTACAAAGTGAGTCTGCACTCTGCTTTACTTTGCAATATTTTGTGGACATAATCTTAGCAGTTTATTCCCAGTAGTTGCAAAAGAAATTTATCCAGGCTGGGAATCAACAAAATACAGACCTTTCTCCAAAAAACCCAATAGAAAACCTTTGTCCTGGGAAGTCTTTGTTAATTTTTTTTTTTAATGTTAGTTTTCTGGTACTGGGTTTTTATGTTTAATGTCTTCTTGTCACATTTTTCATGTCGTAATCTGTAACCACTATTTTTTTTCTAATGTAACAAATTGTCTCAGCTTCATATCCTTGGAATACCTTCGTGTAATGATTCTTTTCGCTGGGGACCATACATCCCTGTGCACATAAACATAGCTTAATTTTGTAATAAAACATAGAATACAGCATGTGGGTTTTGTTTTGTTGTGCTTTTTTTCCCCCACATTTTCCTTAGTGATACCTAAATAGTAAATGTGTTATAATTTCAGCTATATGTTGTCTATTCTAGGCTGCAAGCTTAATGCAGAATCCTCAAGTTCAACAATTGTAAGTATTAAAATGGAGGACTCATAAAACAAAGGTCTTTAGGGGTTTGAATTAATATGAGAAAAGGTGGATAGTACTGTATTCCTGAATATGTAATTTTATTTTTGCTTACTGTAAATAAAACTACTACAGTTTCTTCCTCTTGCAGCTTATTTCCTCCCAGCCATTCAAAAAAGAACTACAGTTTATTGCTTACTGTAAAGGTCCCTGCATACTCCAATGCCAACACTCTGCTGTTTCAGGATGTCGGGGATGATGTCAAACGCCATTGGTGGCCCTGCTGCAGGTGTTGGTGGCCTGTCGGATTTGTCCAGCCTGATCCATGCGTAAGTAAGAATTGCATAGTTTTAACTGTTACATTTGTAGAAGCATCATTGTGCAACATCTGTTTAAAAGGGATAATGTCAAGCCAATTACACCGTGGCCTGTCCCCGTCGTATGCCTGATTATTATTAAAACTAAGAACTTGAAGACTTATTTTCCACTATCTTGTTTGATTGCTTTGTACGTTTCCATCAATTGGAATGACTGAACTGTGTGCTGAGTTTTACTTTCTGGTTCTCGTACACTGTTTACTTTCTAAATGCCACTTACTAAAAATGCTCCTTTAAATCTTTAAGTACTCCTACACACATTTTCAAATTGAGTTTGTAAATTTACTACCTGATATCCCAGACAGTAGTCAGAAAAGCTACAGATTTACTTAGCACATGTTGCAACAAGTTCTACTCTGGCATCTCTTCATTTAAACTAGGAAGGCTTCATGGAACTCAGTATAATGAGAAGCAGATTTTACAAAAACTAAGACCTAAGGCTTTTATAGTATAATAATGATCATCCATCCAGAAGAGTCTGCACAAAAACCTGCCATTTGCTTGTATGGCAAAACCTCTTAAAGGGCATACAATTTTACTTTAATTCAGCATTCTAGCCTGTTTCAAACTATTTTTAAGTTTTGCCCCTTCAGGGCAAAAGTAATTTATAATTTTTATCACAGACAGGAATGTGCTCTCACAAAATCAAGGGCTGTTTTCACAAAAAACAGTACTACACCTAAATCTATGAAAATGGTGGCTTTCCTTCAACCTGCGGTGTGGTTTAAAGGAGTCTTCATTGCTACTTGGGCAAAATGCAGAAGTTAGAGAGAAGCCATGCCAAGCTATTAATGAAGTAATGTTTTACTTACTTGCTTTTTCTAGTAAACCAGTGTTATGCGTATCTTTTACATGGAATTAATCTCACCTACTAACTTAACTCTTAAGCTACAACTGTTACCTGTCATTACTTCAGTCATACAAGACATAAAGGTGTAATTGTATGCTTGCTTTCTACTACTGACATCTTGCTCACAAGTACAAGTTGGCAGCTGCACACTGTATTTCTGGAAAAACTAATACAAGGTTGCACTTCAACTACAAGAGTGTAGTTATCTTAAACAACTAGAATGGATCCTCTCAAAAAGATGGGAGCAAATCACAGGAGCAAATTTGTTCCTAAATTTTAGTTTTACCAAATAAGGTAATACTTTTTCCTCCATGTTATCAAGTAGAAATAATAGTCCTAGAGAATGAAAATGAAGATCTGATGATAATCCTGTTTGGAGATACTTTAACTAGATAAAGTCATAATACTACAAATATCTTCATTAAGACTATACAGCAAGCTATCTTTAGTCTGAAGTTTCATATAATGCACCTTTCAGTTGTGCTGGGATATTCTGTTTTTTCACAAATGCTGCTTGTCATTTTTTTCACTTGTTGATTTTACTTAAAACTGTTCAACGCAGGGGGCAGCAGTTTGCACAACAGATACAGCAGCAGAATCCAGAGCTCATAGAGCAACTGAGAAATCATGTCCGGAGCAGATCTTTCAGTGGCAGCACTGAAGAACATTCCTGACTTAAAGGACGCATGTGAATTGGAATGGTATATAACCCCAAAATGCATACCATAGTTAGTAGCAAAAGCACCATTGTTAACTCTTCTGCTTGAATAGAAGACAGAAAATTCTTTGTGTGTGTTTGCAAACAAGAATAAATCTGTTAAAGAGATCTATTGCACATAACTGGGAACATATTGTTTATGTACAGTTACTCCTCTGAAAATTAATACACTAAATAGGTGGTTTATTAAAATCTCTAAGTACAAATAATTTTCAGTACGTGCATTAGATTGATCTCCAGGACTACTGAGTGGAGAGGAGTTTTGTAGGGGGATGATGTTGCATATCACCTTAATTCTAAAATCCTAGTGTAAAAGGCACATTATTCTTACAGTAAAAATCATTATGGCTGTACTCCCTGTCAAACATTGAAACAGTAAGTGTGTCCTTTTATAATGAGCATAAATGAGTGTTGGAGTATAGAGTATACTTAAACTTAATGCTTGAAAAGTCTGTTTCTTTAAGCCTGTGGCGAGACCATCATTAGTAACATGAAATATTTTTCAACTTCACTGAGCAGGAGGGTGGGAGATGACTGCATATGAAGAAGTACCATAAATTGTGGAAAAAGAGAAGACACTAATCCTGAGAGGGATAATACACAGAAACCAAAATGGACTTGGCTTGGGAAAGGAAAGCATATTAAGAAGTTTTAGGCTTTTCTACTGCCATGTATCCCCTCAAATCACAACAGTAGCCCTGGAGTTCAGCATTATGGCACTATTTCCCTAGCCGTGGCAAACTGTATTACATGCCATATGTATGCAGTATTTAATGTAACCTTAAGATCCTGTGACTGTACAAATAACTAGTACTGAAAATTTATCAAAAAATAACTGCCTTAGAAGGATTCTCTTTCTATTCTTGTACAGTAAATCACTGGCTTAAACAAGGATTTTTTTTAGTTTCATTACACGTGTCTATCTTAAGTGATGGTTATATGGCCAAGTTAAAAATTTTTTCCACTCTATAGTATTTCTGTTCACGGAATCACAGAATGGTCAGGGTTGGAAGGGACCTCCGGAGATCACCCAGTCCAACGCCCCTGCCAAAGCAAGTTCACCTACAGCAGGTTGCACAGGATCACATCCAGGTATGTTTTGAATATCTCCAGAGAAGGAGACTCCACAACCTCTCTGGGCACCCTGTTCCAGTGCTCTGCCACCCTCAAAGTAGAGAAGTTCTTCCTCATATTCAGATGGAACTTCCTATGTTTCAGTTTGTGCCTGTTGCCCCTTAACCTGTCACTGGGCACCACTGAAAAGGGTCCGGCCCCATCCACACTCAAGGTATTTATAAGTAGTGGTGAGATCCCCTCTCAGTCTTGTCTTCTCCAGGATCAACAGACCCAGCTCTCTCAGCCTTTCCTCAGAAGAAAGATGCTCCAGTCCCCTCATCATCTTCATTGCCCTCTACTGAACTCTCTCCAGTAGTTCCTTGTCTTTCTTGAACTGGGGAGCCCAGAACTGGACACAGCACTCCAGGTGTGGCCTCACCAGGGCAGAGTAGAGGGGGAGGAGAACTTCACTTGACCTGCTTACCTTCCTAATGCAACCCAAGGTACCACTGACCTTCTTGGCCACCAAGGCACCTTGCCGGCTCATGGTCAACTTGTTGTCCACCAGC